AGTTTTATGTTATTTTCTGTACTCTGCAGGAAGAGGAGAAAAATAGGCTAACACAGATTACTCAGTTAGACCAGAAGCAGATCAATAATTGGTTCATAAACCAAAGGAAGCGACACTGGAGACCGTCTGAGGACATGAGAATTGCTTTGGTAGAAGGTGTTAGTGGTGGCATTGCAGGATCCATGTACTTTGATGCTGCAGGCGGAACTGGAGACATTGGCACTTGAATACAACTACTATATGTGAAGAAATATGCATTCTATTTAATAAATCAACCTTATTAAGATGAGTAGTCAAATCTATGTGAAGAAATATGCATTCTATTTAAAAAATCAACCTTATTAAGATGAGTAGTCAAATCCTTTATAAGTTAGTCTATGTTTACATCTTTATTTGATGTGGGATTCTATCCTTTAACATGCCTCCACAAGATGGTGGTTCGTTTGAGCAGACCAATTTTGAAATTCGTATGCTCACTTTTGGAGTCTTAATCGGATCGAATTGTTCGTTAGAGTTTAATGGGATCTGTATTATGTTAAGATTTGGGGTTTCATCTTAAAATGTCAACCTTATTAAAAGGAATGGTCAAAACTTTTATAAGTTGATCTATCTTTACATATTTATTTGATGTGGAATTCTATCCCTTGACAGGTATTTCTTCCCCATATTTTGTTCAAGTCCACATTGATACCTTTTTAGGTATTATAGATACATATGGAGGATTGTCAGATGAACAATCCTGTTGCACAGTTAAACTACAAGTGTAAAATGGGTTGAGTCACCTTGTGACCCGATGTGGATGTGAAAATGAGTTGACGATATGCTTATCACGGTGCAAACTAAAAATTAGAAGAATAATTATTATTTATATATAATGGTTTACATATAGATGTGATGTCAAATAGAGAGTGGGGAATTTTTTTATTTTTTTTTGGAAGAAATTTTGATTCAATCGTATCTCACCACATTACGTGTATATAAATCATTATATACATGTAGTACAATCAAAATTAAAAGTAGTACTTCTCTAATCAATGGTGTGACTTGAGGTGGATCAGTCAGTTGAATTGATTTGCCATACTTCGAACAAATGGTGCAACGGTGACCGTGTAATGTGGACAAAAAATGAGGTCATAGTGAACCGTGCCAAATATTAAAAAAAACCATCACGCAACTCGGACAAGTTATAATTGGACAACTAAGGTAAGACATCATGTAATTATCTCAAAGAGTCATCTCGTAAAAAAAATGATAATGATTCTAAAATCATAGTAAGTTGCAAAATGAAAATGGACCTACATATTTGAACTATAATTTACTAGGGAATAATTTGTCTCAACATTGCTTCATAGAACCAAGAAACTGACCCCTATTCCAAACTACAAGACAAGAAAACGAGTTTTTGCCTGTTTCTGTGTTTGATGCACATTAAAATGGAAAGAATGCATTTTTCTTTGTGATGTGACGGTGAATATGTGGTTGAAAAAAAAAGTTATTGATGTGATAGAAAATATTATTTTATTGAAAATGTGTGATTGAAAATGAGTAGAAGAATGAGAATGAAAATGAGAATGTGGCTCAAACAGGGAATTACTTAACTTTTACGACATTAACCCCTGTTTGACACTCATTTTGGAGAAAAAATAAATTATGGAATAGTAATTGATGGAAGAATGTGTGGTTAAAAAGTAGTGAGAATTTTTGAGTTTATGTGTATTATTATTTTATTAATTGAATGTGTGGTTGAAATAAAGAATGAGAAAAAATGAGAATGAGAAGAAAATGGGTGTCAAACAGGGTGTAAAATACACTAAACCATTCAAATCTTATTGCCCCTGTTTGGTTCAC